ACTCGAATGATAAAAGGGTTGGAACACTTTCCCTATGAGGAAAGGTTAAGGCGCTTAGGGCTCTTTAGCTTGGAGAAACAACGACTGAGGGGTGACATGATTGAGGTATATAAGATTATGCATGGGAAAGAGCAGGTAGAGAAAGAGGTATTTTTCTCCCTTTCTCACAATACAAGAACTCGTGGGCACTCCATGAAATTGCTGAGTGGTCGGGCTAAAACGGATAAAAGGAAGTACTTTACCCAAAGAGTGATTAACAATTGGAATTCACTGCCACAGGAAGTGGTGGCGGCTACAAGCATGGACGCTTCAAAAGGGAATTAGATAAGCATATGGAGCAGAGGTCCATCAGTGGCTACTTGCCACAAAGTATAGATAGGGACTCTGGGGCAAGTGATGCTCTGTCATCTTGGTGCTTGGGGAGGTCAACAGTGGGAGGGCTTCTAATGTCCTGGCCCCACTGATGGACCTCCTGATGACACTGGTATTTCTGGCCACTGTTTGATACAGAGTGTTGGACTGGATGGGCCTTTGGCCTGATCCAACATTGGCATCTCTTATGTTCTTATGTTCTTCCTCCTCTTCCATTCCAAGTTCTTCCCCATATTTTCCTAGAAAGTCTTCCGCTTTAAAAATAGATGTGATCCATTATTTTTTCCCTTGATAGGTAAAAACCAAGCCCTCTAGAAGTAGCCATCTGTACTGAATGTCATTTTTCTTTAGTAGCCATATTAATTTAGAATATTCTCTTCTTTTTTCCCTAACTCACCAGGGAATTTCCTTCAAAACTTTTATTTCGATTTCATCTTTCATTAATGGTTTCGCATTTACTTCCCTCAATACTTTGTCCCTTACCATCCTCTTATAGAAGCGGACTTGTATTTCCCGTGGAACTTTAATCTATCTTGCATAGGCTGAATTCATTCTAAATGCTTGATCAAACTCTTTTTCCACTTCATCTTTTTCCATGTCAGTATGGTCTGCCAGTAACTTGGCCATCTTCCCTGACAGGTCTTCATATTTTTCCTCTGGAATGTTCTGGAATCTTAACACGTATGCTGCTTTTCCCACCTGCTCTTGTTCATATTCCCGTTGTTTGTCTTCCGTCCTTCTTGTGTCCTCTTCCACCGCTTTAATCCTCTTCTCTGTCTTCCCATTGTTTTTCTTCAGCTCTGCTATGTCCTTAGAATTTTCAGCCACCTGTTTTTGAATGGCTTGCATGCTATTTGTAAATTGCTCAGTTATTTGTGTTATTTGTCTTAAAGTTTGATCCATCTGAGCTTTAATTGGATCCACTACTTCCACAACCATGCTTTGCATTTTTTTTTGCACAGGTGCTGCTAATTTACTAACAGTCACCCCCCCTGTCCCTGGTGAAGACTGTGTAGTCTTAGCAGTGTGAACATTTTTAACAGTTGACATTTTGCTGATTTTTCTCTGAGCTTTATACAAGTTCCAAACAGTTTTACTGTTATCTCTTTTATTTGTTGTTCTATTTCCATCTGGCTCTCTTCCCAGACTCTATTATCTCAGTGTTATGGTTTAAGCCCAGTTCTGGTTCACTGCCCAGTGCTGGAAAGTCGCCAGTGTCCCTTGGCCACACGCCTGGACTTTTGTTATTATTTGCTCAAGGTCACCGTCTTTCCCAGCTGTTCCGTACACAGCCTCGCTCCGATGGGGGGGGGTAGTTAGTTTTAAAACCATCAATAGTCAATTATGGACATAGATAGCACTTTTAGTCTTTATTGAATTTCCAGGTCGGCTCTACCATTTCACCCCACTTATTATAATGGGCCTCCTGCCCCCCTCCTGATGGAGGGAAAAATTGAGATCGCAGAAAGGGTGGGGACTTGCTAGCTCTTTATACATCCACAAACCTTATATCAGTTTATCTCCCAAAACTCCATTTACTTCTCTTTAAATTTTCAGCTTTCGCTTCTATTAGAAGTTTGTTGGTATTTTGCCCAAGCCGTTCCCCTCTACTCTGCCAAAACACAGCCAAAGTTGGAAAGTTCTCCCGTCGGTTCTGGCTAGTTAAGTAGAATTGGGGAGATTTTCCAGTCTATTGGGGGCTACCAAATGCGATTGCTGGGGAAAAGATCAACAACCTTAGATATGCAGACGATACCACTCTAATGGCAGAAAGTGAAGAGGACCTAAAGAGCCTCTTACTCAGGGTAAAAGAGGAGAGCGCAAAAGTGGGGTTGAAGCTCAACATCAAAAAAACTAAGATCATGGCATCCGGCCCCATCACTCCTTGGCAAATAGAAGGGGAAGTCGTGGAAGTAGTGACAGACTTCACGTTCCTGGGATCCCAGATCACCGCAAACTGTGACTGCAGCCATGAAATTAAAAGACGCCTGCTCCTTGGGAGGGAAGCGATGGCGAACCTAAACAGCATGATAAAAAGTAGAGACATCACCCTGCCAACAAAAGTCCGCATGGTCAAAGCAATGGTATTCCCAGTAGTCATGTATGGCTGCGAGAGTTGGACTATAAGGAAGGCCGAGCGCCGAAGAATAGATTCTTTTGAACTATGGTGCTGGAGAAGACTCTTGAGAGTCCCTTGGACTGCAAAAAGATAAAATCAGTCAATCCTAAAAGAAATCAACCCTGACTGTTCCCTGGAAGGCCAGATAATGAAACTGAAGCTCAAATACTTTGGCCACCAAATGAGAAGGGAGCACTCCCTGGAGAAGACCCTGATGCTGGGAAAGATTGAAGGTCAAAGAAGATGGGGACGGCAAAGGATGAGATGGTTAGACAGTGTCATTGATGCAACGAACATGAAATTGAGCCAACTTCAGAGGATGGCGGAAGACAGGAAGGCCTGGCGTGATCTGGTCCATGGGGTCGCGAAGAGTCGGACTTGACTGTGCAACTGAACAACAACAAAAAGCGACAGTCTTTACTTTGAAAACACAGAACAGTTTCTTTCACTCACGTTTAAGTGCTCAATTTAAAATCCACTTGTCAGTCTCTTGGCTCGTGGTAGCAACAGCTCTGCCCTCCACAGTGAGCTTCTTCCTCCGGCTTGCTTCAGGGTGAGCTAATTTGGTCTCCCAGTGAGTTGCCTTTTCGCTGGGAGCTCAGCTCAAGCCCCCTGCCCCCCACTGCTCCTGCCCCGGAGCGTGGGGTGATCTCCAATTGTTTGGAGACCCTTTAAATCCGAAGAAAGGATCAATAGCTCGGAGCTCAGCTCTTGAGTGACCGCTGGCGCTGTGCTCTCCTGCAGTCTCGCTGCCTCAATAGTTTTTGTTCATCAATGTGCCTACTAATTCTTTCCTTAATAACAGTTTCCACCAACTTACTCGGTATTGACGTCAGACCAACTGGCCTGAAATTTCCCGCGTCTCCTCTGGAACCCTTTTTAACGATGGGAGTGACATTAACTACCATCCAGTCCTCGTTAATGGATGCAGATTT